AGTGTCCAAAATATGCCTTCAAATCATTTTGAAAACAAATGCCCGCAAAATTAAAAAAGTAGGTCACCGTGACCTACTTTTGAGTTAACATGATGTGAAGTTTTAAGATGCATGAACTTACAATATTTGATCTTCTAGTCCTTATAGTAAGCAATATATAGACATTTTCATTAATTGTAAATTTAGGTCAACTTTGAAGTGACCTTGAGACCACGCCCTTTGCCCCAGGATCATGTCTTGTACAATTTTTAATCTTCAACATATCCTGATCCTTGTATGTAAGTTTGGTGAAAATCTGCCTGGTGGTTCTGGAGAAGAAGATTTTTTTGCAACCAGTACTTTAGGTTTTGTTTTCCTGATTATCTACCCTTGTTTAAGGGACCCAACCCTTATTTTAGTACAAATGGTAGCCCATGGGCCAAGAATACCCTGTGACAAATTTGACACTGATTGGCCAAGGGGTTCTTGAGTTATGGTCCATATTCTAAAAAGTTAACGCAGTTGTAGTTTAGCCACGGAACAAGAAATGTGTTGCTGTTCACCGTACGGTATTCCCTACAATAAATACAAATATACAGCCAAATATTTTGAACACCAGTAGTGAAAACATAGAAATGTACACAAGCTCTAAGTAACTACTGTGAAATCACGAATTTTCGTGGGGGTTTAATTTTCGTTGTTTTCGGGGTATGGCGAGACCCACGAATTAATGTCCACCACGAAATATAAAATATAACATACATAGCAGCGCATTAATATTTGAGCTACGAAATCAAATCCCCACAAAGAAATTTTCCTCAAACAACGAAAATTAGACCCCACGAAAATATATGATTTAACAGTACTTAATCTGTTTATATAATTTTAAAAATGGTTTAATACGCAAAAGAGCGCGTATATCTTATATTATTATAAAATTTAATGGAGGACTACAGATTCAACTATATGATTTTTTTTTTAAATGATCTTCGTGGACATTGCCTATTTAAAAGTTTTAAAATAATCTTTAATGCTGGAAAAACATATTCATAAATGTCTGTGAATTACATGAAATTGAAAATGTGATGACAATTGCTATTTAAAAAGTTCAGCGAAAAAAAGGCCTTTATTAAGAAAAAGTATGTGTGGAATTTACATGCCATAGGGAAGTGTAAAAACCCTCAAAAGCTAGACCATAAAAACAAATTCTAATTAAAAAAAATGCTTTTTTACATTCTGTGTTTTATCATAATAAATTCTTAATTTCTACTGCACGTAGTACATGTATGTTTTGTCTTTTTGAAAACATCAATCATGACTGATCCAGAAATACAAGTATATGATAGAAATCAAAAATTACAATGGTTTTCATGTACCTTAAATTCCTCTGTGAATTTCTTATTTTCTTCCATCGAAAATACTTTGATTATTCTTCCCAGATCAGCTATTTTGATGAGTGTTTTCTTTTGACCGTTGTCTGTGACAATGTACTCAATCTCAGCATTTTCTTCTACAGCAGCATGGTTCTCAGTTTTATCTAGTCTGTCCTCAATATTGTTTTCTTCTGAAACATAAGCTTTATGAGATATCTTTATCTCATTCAAAACAATCGTTAATGAATTTTAATGTTATATACATGTAACCAAGTTCATGTCCGTCACCTAATGCAGGAAACAATTCACAACTATACTGAATATTTGCTGTTTTCATGCCACTTTTCCAAATTTTGAAGCTACTTTTGCTGTTACTGTTTCGAATGTAAGTCAATGCTTTTGAAGCATCCTGCAAGAAGAGGTACATAGCTGAATTAATATATAGCATACCGGTGTTAGACGCTTGTTTTCTTTCTTTTAGGACTATGTCACCTTCCTTTTTCTGTCTTGCTTTCCTAGAAAATAGTTATACTTTCTGTAAATTGAAAAGTAAATGAAAAGAGTTTTGAAATTTACAGAAAAAAAATTGATGCACTTATTACAACATATATTTTAATGATTCCTCTACCTTGCTAAAATAACCGCTAGGACAATGACTATTATGACTAGTATTAACATGAAAGCGCCTATTCCTGCAGCAGCAGCCGTGGAAGCCTCACTCTGAACATCTGCAACTGAATAATAACAATACATTAGTTTCAACATAAAATAATAATATATATTCTTTTTTTGTAAATTCTGTGCAGTCTATTCTTGTTTATTGTATTGGTTTTTCTGAGGATAATCTATAGACTAAAAAAAGACCCCTGTCACCATTAAAGCTTCTCAAACGAAAAGGAAGTCCTAAGTGTCAATGACCATAATGTCCTAAGTCCCCGTCTTTTCGAAAACTTTCAAAAATACGTGATGCAGTCCAAAAATATGAATGACATACCTAGAATTGGCATTTAGCAAGCAAATCAACACACAGAAGTATGTTTTGAAAAAAATTGGTCTTTTTATTATGTTAATTGCAAAAATCACGCTTTTTTATCTTTTCAGTGTTTGGCTATATAATGCGGTTTTATATAAACCAATGAAACAATTATATTAATCCAGTGACATTCTTATCAAAAGTTAAAATAACATTTCAGGTAGGTACAAAAATCAGCCAATATTTTTGTAGTAATTCATCAATAAAAACATTTTAAAAATCATATAATATTCTTGGCCATAAAACAAAATTCACACTTTTTAGACAAAAGACTTTAGATAATATTTTTCGCACCCATTTAAATTATAAACATAATATAACACGTTCGATATACGATACCAGTTATATTGCAGAATATTCCAACAAATCCATATTGACACTGATCACACGTTCCGTTGATCTTATTGCAGACAGACAGACAACCTTGTGCACAGCTAAAATTGCAGCAAAGTCCAAATGTTCCATTGTCACATTCTATGCATGGATACAAAGTAGTCTTCCATCGTGACAAGAATTTTGAACATGAATCGCTTAATTTATTTCATTATTATTTATATAAAATTTTGGATGTGTATTTTTCTTCCTTTACATTGCATTTACAGGAATTAACCTAAACAATAAAATTCAAAAGTCAAGCATATAAAAGAAAATAAAAAACATACTATAGTCACACTTATCTCCCTGATATCCAGGTTTACATTGTCCGGGACAGGATCCGTTGATGTGATGACAGGTCTCAGGACCTCTACAGTGACCACACTCTTCCTGACAGTCTTTGCCATAAAAATTCACATCACATTCTGCAAGAAAATTTATCAGTTACACATGTTTCCTTTAAATCATAAATTGGTAATAATACTCCTATATACAGGGACCGTGACTTTTACTTTTATTTCCTTTATTCTAGTGAATACAGTATACATAATTTATTAAAAAAAGATCCTTCCAGAATCGTCTCTATTTTCATCGTCAGGATATATATGGTATTTCTGTATACATTATATTAAATTTAATGTTAGGCTTTTATTCTTATACCACAGCTAGAAGAGAAACGGGGGTATATCATGATCGGAATGTGCATCCGTTTGCACGTCCGCCCGCTACGCTTTAGGATATCCATCTCTTTCCCGCAACTCTCCCTTTCTAAATATATTTTTATTCAGACTTTCACAGAATCTTTATGTAAAGTTTTGAAAGTTTTTTTACGTTGTGCAGTTGTTCACCTCCTATTTTATTTTTTTTTTCGATGGGACATAGTTTGGAGTCCCCCCCCAAAAAAAAACATGGACATTAACACTCTCTCTATACATAATATTGTGGGTTACCCATCTGCTATCCATAACCCTAACTAAACATCTAAATAAAATTATAGGATGTTTTTACAGAATCTTTATTACAATGTGTCAATGTTACGTTTTGCACTTCCTATTTTATTTTATTTTTTTTTTATCTAATACTTGTATCGGGTCCGCATTTTTATTTTACACTAATTTCTGTTCTCCCTTTGCAAAACACAGCCTTTTTAATCGTATGGAGGATTCATTTCGTGAGCTCAGTGCTTGTAGTACATAGAGTATTTCAACTTTGCATTAAGCGTTTTTGTCACATCTTATTTGAATAATCTGATTTGTCTTTCAGAATTTTCAAAATCTTTTTTTTTTTATTATATATATGCCTGCCTTGTAAACACACCTCAGCATATTCATAGTTACAAGTCGGATCTTTAGGATTATAGTTACTATGCTAAATTGTACTACAATATTTGTTATATAATGAGTGTACAATAAGCCTATGGTTAAGAAAATTTGCCAAAGGGGTCTCGTATTTACATGAAACTACAACCTACTACCCGAAATTATTTTCACTTATAACTTTAAAAATGTCTAGCATTTCCAGACCTCTATTGCATTTATCTCCCTGATATCCAAGTTCACATTGCCCAGGACAGGATCCGTTGACGTGGTGACAGGTCTCAGGTATAACACAGTGACCACACTCTTCCTGACAATCTTTGCCATAAAGCCCCATATTACATTCTACAACGATAATTATCAGACATTTTACATATTAATACATGAAACGAAAATTACTTAAATGGATGAAATACAAGGTATGCATATGCCTTTTCTCTCCATACTTGTACATCAAATACGATTTAATCAATAACTCATCTGCGTTGAAAACAAAAGTTTATTGATCACAATATGATTATCTTCTGATCAAATCAAATCATAAACTTACATGTACGAAAGACTTCGTAAGCTTGTTGTTTAAGAAAACAAAAATAGATAATGCAATGTAAATCCAAATATAACAATTATATCATATCGAAAAGGATTTCACACTATAAATATCTTCGTGAAGTTACATTAAAGCTCAAGAGGAACGTGTCAATACGAAGAAGCATTTTTAAGTAGTTAATGGATAATACATAAGATATAAGAAGAAAAATAATACAAAATATATATAAGATAAGAAATATATGCGCCATATACACAAAATTGTATTACATAATGAAAAAATATAACATATACAGGTTGCAATGTACCTCTTAGAACATAAAAAATCGACATTTGGCAGCATGCGCTGTAAAGAGTCTCATACCACACTTGACAAGAGAATA